AAAGTTAGCGGGCCACGTTTAGTTTGGCTAGCCGGCATTAGTTTGTTGTAGACAGTGCATCGTGGCGGGAGATTTGAACTTCTGCCCTCTCTACTCATTAAGTACCGTCGTGCCACGTTAATTAAATCCGGCCCATTGAATTCATACCTTTAGGACATAGAGTAAGTGTATTGCTACAAGTATCAATCTTTGAATTTAACGGGCCACATTTTGTTAGACGTCAGATTCACTTTATACCCTTTCCAGCAGCCCACACAGATGGCGTAGGATTTGAAATTCAGCCCTATCATACGTAAGTACCCTTGTGCCTCCTTAATCAAATCCGACCCATTGAATTTGATACTTTTAGTGTATATAGCCTTGGTTGTTGACTATCGTAATCCGTCTTTAAAGGCCACGTTCAGTTTGGTGCAGATATAACTGCTGAGTACACATATCTCTTATGCCTAATCAGGCCCGCTGTCAACGGCCTAATTAAATCCGGCAGGTAAAATCTGAAACTTGTAGTAGACTTGTGATGTACTAAGCTATCATAACGCTTTTTTCAAGTTCACCTGCCATATTTTTTGGCTAAATTACTGATTTTTTGGGTTTTCGAATCGGTACCCGAATCAGTTGCTATGTTCCATCTAGCGGCGAAACGCCGGCTGAAACGCCGGCTACGAATCGAAGGCTGTAACGCCGGCTAGCTTCACTTTGGTGAGCCACTAGGAAAGAAGTTGATGTTTTGTAAAGTTGACAGTTTTCGTCAAGAAGAGAAGGAAAGGGAGGTTTGAAGGGCAGGCCTTGAATATACGGAAATAGACTGCTATTTAAATCAGACATTAACTGAATGTTGTAGTTTTAACATATCCTTTTTTATTTGATTTAAGTTAGTTTATGATTTTACAGGCGAAACAGATACATATAATAAAAAAAAATGCTTTAGGAAGAGATAAAGGTTTGACGTTCGAGTCGTCTGTCTTACAACCTCACGAGTCTTTCCAATGCCACACAGGCATTTCGGAACATAGGCATTTCGGAACATAGGGATTTCGGAACATGGGCATTTCGGAACATGGGCATTTCGGAACATAGGCATTTCGGAACATGGGCATTTCGGAACATAGGCATTTCGGAACATAGGCATTTCGGAACATAGGCATTTCGGAACATTGGCATTTCGGAACATAGGCATTTCGGAACATAGGCATTTCGGAACATAGGCATTTCGGAACATATAGGTTTCGGAACATATAGATTTCGGACCCAGGGCTTCCTACAGGGGTACGGATCGTAGAATTCGGCAAAAATGGAAGAACAATTGGCCAGGCGAGTCAGTCCGCGGAAGGGTTAATTTCAAATTCACTATACGGTGATCACCGTAGCCAATTATTCTCCCTAGTTGGCTAGATTTTAATCTCCAATCAGATCCTAGGGCGGCAAAGACAGTATCAAATTGGCCAGGCAGTATCCATTCGCCAGGTCGCAGAGAGGGCCAATTTAATTACTGTCTTTGGCCACCATAGGATCAGCTTGGAGGTTAGCTAGATTTTACTGTTTCTGAACGCGCGGTGTTTAATAGCCTGGTGGAGACTATAGTATAGAGGCCTCGCGTAATCCCAGCCCCCTGGGCAAACATTGCGTAACGGGGCCGGCCATGGGCGCGTCATCCCGCCACGATGTAGCACTTTTCATGTAGCCTCTACCAGGCTTCGGGAAGCGGCTGGAGAGAGTAGAAATCGGCCAAATAGAGAGACAGCATGCCAGGGGAGTTTGGTCCTGGAGAGCTCGGGAGCGGCAAGCTGTTCTCTCCAGGACCAAACTCCCTCGGCATGCTGTCTCTCTATTTGGCCGATTTCTACTTTTACCAGCCGCGTCCGGAAGCCTGGTAGAGGCTACTTTTGAGTCGCTCCGCCGGGGTTTGTTTGAGGTGGCCGCGCTTCCTCGCCGCGTGAATGCGGCGGCAGGAAATCCGATGTGACCGTAAACACGCCCGTGTAAGGCAACACCGTGTTCCCCGTGCGCTGACCTGGCCACATGCCGCGGCTACTCGCGATACTGAGCCGTTCAAACAGGCAGCGGCATGGACCGTTACTGTGTCGCCGGACGTTTAGAGACGATATCTCAGGTTTTCTAACGACTGCAAGTGTTAGCAGGATTCTCCCTTTCATGGTCCAGTTTTGGAGAGCCGCTGTGTGATGTGCCTGCAGCTGATGCAGTGTGAAGCTCCACAGGTGAGTGTTCTTGTATTAAAGATGGTCTGCCAGGTCTGTACACCACCTGCCACGATACCGCAGGTTTTCTAACGACTGCAAGTGTTGGCAGGATTTGTCCTTTCGTAGTCCAATGTTGGAGTAGTACTACTGCGCAGTTTACAGCTGATGCAGTGACCGTGTGAAGACTGTGTGTAGCTGTTCTTGTATAAGATGATCTGTCAGGTCTTTTCTACCACCTGTGCTGGCCAAGCTCCGCTTTCTATTTGAGTCTCACTCGCTATAAATGGTCAGTTAGTCCGTACATATCGCTTTGTTGGATTTTAATCCTTTTGCTCCTAATGCCACATTCGTGGTCCTAAGTTAAGTGTTCGGCGGTCTATCAGGCTGTTCTTGACTGTCTACGGTACGCGGGAAAACATATTCCAATCTTTTTTTCTGACATCGGCCAGGTAATATTCACGGTAATAGGAAATGACAAGTCAGCATATTTACCTGTACGATGCGAAACCAATTTGAATAGCAAATAGCCGACTGGACAACAGCAAGTCAAAACGTCTACCAGCACAAGGGCCTGCCCTCTTATATAGTACGATGCTAGTCATGTACAGAAAAAAAGGATGATCAGACGATAGCCTTAACCGTCATAGTTGCAAGGTTCACCAAGCACCTCTACACTATCTACGTCCTTATTATTATATCCAGAACCGTGTGCTTTATCCAGAACCATGGTCAGGCACGGTTCTGGATAGTCCACGTGTATCCAGAACCGTGTCTGGGCAACTCTTATGTTCTTGGACACGAGGAGACTATCCAAACTGTGACCGTGCCTGATCCTAACCCAAACCCATTCAGGCCTAGACCCAGATAGATATGCACAATACGCTAGTCCTCGGTGTCGGCATTAATCTCCAAGCAGATCCTAGGGTCTCAAAAACAGAGTATCAAATTGGCCAGAGAGGGACCATGAGCGACCCAAGGGTGGTTGGGGTAGCGACAAAAAAACAAACGGCCATAAAGCTAACGTACCGTGGCCGACAAGGACAAACCTGCGTCGCCTGCGCGCACACCTGCGTCGCCTGCGCGCACACCTGCGTCGCCTGCGCGCACACCTGCGTCATGTCTGCAAAGAGCTTCCTCGTCTGCGCACGAATACCTGCGTCGTGCCTGCCAAGAGCTTCCTCACGCCTGCACAGAAAGAGCTTCCTCGTCTGCGCACGAATACCTGCGTCGTGCCTGCCAAGAGCTTCCTCACGCCTGCACAGAAAGAGATTCCTCGGCGACCTCGCTGCGCGCAACGAAAGCTCGCTGCACGGAAGAATACGTGTCACCCCTGCCNCGTCGCCTGCGCGCACACCTGCGTCGCCTGCGCGCACACCTGCGTCATGTCTGCAAAGAGCTTCCTCGTCTGCGCACGACTACCTGCGTCGTGTCTGCCAAGAGCTTCCTCACGCCTGCACAGAAAGAGCTTCCTCGTCTGCGCACGACTACCTGCGTCGTGCCTGCCAAGAGCTTCCTCACGCCTCCACAGAAAGAGATTCCTCGGCGACCTCGCTGCGCGCAACGAAAGCTCGCTGCACGGAAGAATACGTGTCACCCCTGCCCTGTTGAAGAATGGACGGTCCCCTATTATAGGTCAAGGGTCATATTCGCTGTCGTTTTTGTTTACTTCAGTCTCAAATTTGTTTTAGTTTTTATGCTTACAATGTCCGGCGCGTTTATTAATCAATAACGGGCCCGTTAGTGATAAAATTAATTAATAGAAATCCTGCATAGATTATGTTAATATTGCCCTTACAACATCTGCCCCCAACAACAGAACCACCTCGTCTTCGATCTTCCCCGGTAAGTGCCCGTTGTTTATTTGCATGAACAAAGCGAATAATTCCAAAGAAACATTTTGAGGACATCCTATGGCAGTCTGGGCATCGATTCTTCCCGACCCGCGACGATATACACGGTTTTAGACCGGATTTGAAGTAGGCGACGATATGGGGGGGGGGGGCAGGCACATGTAACGTTACAGTATGCTACGCATGTTTAATTTGCACCAAGGGTTCTGTGAAATACCTAGAGAGGCAATTTGACTATGAACTGAACCATGCCCAAACCTGCACCAAGAGGTTTTACTTTTGTCTGTGAATGTGGAGAAATTAGGCTGCATAGTTTCTTAGTCGCCTTTGAATTTTGGACATTACATCATGTGATTTGAATGACATGAGCGGTTTATTAGCATGATCAAATTATTGGAAACATAACTAAATTATAAAACATCACTCTAAAAGGTTCATATCACTTCGCGAAGGTATGGGGTCGTTGAATTCTGGATACCTTCGTCAAGAAGGTTATGCTTTTGGTCTCGTTCGTGTATGTGTGTGTTTGTCTGTCACCAAAAATAACTCAAGAATGCTTCCGGTTTTGAATGAAATTTTCTGCACTTCTTGCCTGCATGTTTGCAACTGACAGGTCAAATTATCTTAGCTGTCTAATAGAGAGATCAAGGAAACATTCCATGTATTGACACCCATGTATCATGTCTTATACAGATTCAAGCACAAGCACCCAGAAGATCCTGAGGAGGTCCCAGGAGGGTTCCTGACAGATTGTAACAAGGTACATGAAAGTGCAGGCCAGGGAATTAGATTTAGAATAAGAATCAAGATGACAGCTTTGATTGTCCAATTATACATGTACACATAGCCATACTTTTAAACTATAAATTGATGCAAGCAGTATCAGTGTACATGTGCCTGCCCTTACAGAACCCACACCATTTTGCTATGTACATGTGTATGAGGAAAGTTACTCTGTTTCCCTAACAAACTCTAATTATACACAAATGCTGCACAGATTTCCTGAGTGTAGATGAGTCACATCTCCAAGGTATATTCTAGATGTATTCATTATGTTCCATATCTTTCCCCAAGGACTCCCTGACTGTGATCCCTGATGCCCTATATTGAATGCTTCAGTGAAGGGTGCCAAGGTGTACGACAAGTTCCAGTTTGAACGGATCGGCTACTTCTCTGTAGATCCTGATTCAGCAAAGTCCGACAAGGTCAGCTGTCGTAACTCTTAATGTCTCACATTTACAATATACTTCAGCATCTGAGGAAAATGTACTCTGGGGATTTATAGTTGAAATTGACTAGAAATTGTGTACACTTATTATTCCCAGTAATCAGTTATGTTGTCAGTCCACTCTGTTTTCATTTGAGACATTTTGAGAATAAAAAGCCTATGGACACTTGTTTCAGTTTCACATCAAAACTCCAGCATATCAT